CTGAAGATTATCCAAAAACGATTAGAACAGCACATCAGCAGAGAACTGCCGGAAGTCCAGGCTGGGTTTAGAAGGGGTCGTGGTACTAGGGATACACTATCTTAGGCCCTCTTTATACACAATATTTTCACAAAAACTGAACATGTACCATGTGCTTTAAGTTTTGGAAAATAGTGCAAGACTACTGATTTAATATTTATGAGAAATTACATTTTATATTCTCTTCCTTGAATCCGTATCGCCGTCTTAGGTATATCTCTAAATTTGGTTCTTTAGAGATTAAAGAAAAGCAAGCATAAGTAACTTGTTTAAGTGTGATATAATCTTACAATTTATTTATAATTTCTAAGTGAGTGAATTGAGACTAGAATTTGTAGGGTTTTTTGGGGTTATAATCTGGCATTTAATCTACTGATGAGCTTTCCTCCCTCTTTGTGTTTGACAGACACACATTGTTTCATAGAAGCAAATGCCACATTTCTTTTAATCTATAGCTCTGTGACATGTAACAGATGAATTCTGGATCCTGAGTTTAAAGATATTGTTTTGCCATCTTATTTAACTTTTTTATTTAAAAAGTGTCTTTTTAAAATTTTTTTAAATTTTATTTTATTTAAAACATTTACAGAGATTTTGTATTTCCATTCATTCATTGTTGCATTTTTCTCCCTGCCCACGCCTCTTCCCCAGTTCGCTCTTGTCTTTGAAAAGTAAAAGAAACATTCTTTCATTGGTATACAGTCCCACCCCACCACCCCCTTTTCCAGTACACTCCACTATGCAACCTTCATTCTGGACTTTTGTCATTAATGTAATACCCAATCATGTATCTCTTTTAAACTGTTCTCTCACTCATCTCTTTCAAAGCAGTATACATAATTTATCCCATCTTTCTCAGTCTCCCCCCAACCCTGATGTCAGTCTCATTCTACAACAGTGGCACCATGCAGTATTTGTCCTTTTGTGACTGAGATCTTTCACTCAGTATTATGTCCTCCAGGCTCACCCATTTTGAATAATATTGCATGAGTTCCTTGTTTTACAGTGTAGCATAGTTTCCAACTCTGTGCTATTGTGAACAAAGCTGCAATAAACATGGGTGTGCCTGAATGTTTTTTAATATGTAGCTGGCAGTTTGGTTGCTATAGTACTCAGATTTTAGTTGCTTATTAACCACTGCTTTTGCTGAACTTACAGATGGATTGAGTGATGAGAATAATGATGATCGAGTACTAAAATGCTGCCTTCAATACCAGGAATTATTCCCTTGTTCTGTTGTTATTCTGTGCACGTAAGTTTCATGGTAATTTCATTCTTTTAAAAAATGTTATTGTTTTTCCATATCAAGGATCAAATACATACAATTTTTTACTTCTAGTGAACATACTTAGTTGTCTCTGATATTTTTGTGTGTGTTTATTTTTTGTATGTGTGCATTGTGTGAGCTATAGAAGAGTGAGATTGAGATCTAAAATAGACGCTAAAGTTTCAATATAATTAATAGAATATTTAGAAAACTTTTCCCAATAAAATAGTATAGAAATTAAAATTTGCTTATTTTTGTCATTTGACAACAAAGTTACTACATTTTTTAGGAAGGAGAGAGAGTTTATGTTGCTGTAGTTTTGTAGGTGCCTACTCTGGTTTTCTAGGTGACTGCCTTGCTTGCAGTCCTGACCTTGCCATTTACCAGGTTTGCAACTTTGACAGGTTACTCAGTTTCATTTCTTCGTAGGAGAAAAATAGGAATAATAATAATTTCTGCCTCATGAAGTTATTGTAAGTGAGGCTATTCCTTGAAAGGGGAGATCATGCTTGGAAAGGTGGAGGATCACCAGAAGAGAGGAAAACTTCCAATGAGATGGATTCACACAGTGACCTCAGTGATGTAGGCTAAAATGTGTCAGAGAAAAGGGTTCAGGACTGTTGCTTATAGGGTCGCTGTGAGTTGTACTCAACTTGATTGCACCCAACAACAACAATATTAAGGAAAATCTTGTAGATTTCTCTCCCTAACTTTAAAATTTTTTTTCCTTTTGTACTTTGAAATATAATTTTTTAAAAAATTTTATTAATTTTAATGAAAGTTTACATAGACTTAGGGTTTCCAGTCATTCATTGTTGCACATTTCTCCCTGCCCAGCCCCTTCCTCTAAATTCACTCTTCTTTTTGAAAAGAAAAAGATTCTTTCATTGTTATGCAATCCCTCCCCCCAAGTCTGCTCCACTGTGCAGCCTTCACTCTGGAATTCTGTAATGACAGAAATACGCATTCATATATCCCTTTTAAACAGTTCTCTCTGTCATCTGTTTCAATGCAATATACATTATTCCTCCCCTCTTTTTCTGTCTTACCTCAACCCTGATATCAGTCCTGTTTTACAACAGTGGCGCTATGCAATATTTATCCTTTTGTGACTGAGATATTTCACTTAGCATTATGTCCTCTAGGGTCACCCATTTTGTATAATATTTCATGAGTTTTTTTGTTTTTCAGTGCAGCATAGTATTCCATTGTGTGAATATACCACAGCTTCTCTATTCATTCCCTTGTTAATGGGCACTTGGTTTGTTTCCAGCTCTTTGGTATTGTGAACAAAGCCACAATAAACATGGGTGTGCACCACCTTTTGGGTGGTGGTTATGGTTTCTTTAGGGTAAATTCCCAGTAGTGAAATTGCTGGGTCAAATGGTATTTGTATTTGCAACTTTTTTGAGGAAGCGCGGTACTGCTTTCCATAGTGGTTGCACCATTTTACATTCACACTAACAGTGAATAAGGGGTCCAGTTTCTCTACAATTTCGCCAGCATTTGTTGCTTGCTGTTCTCTTAAATTTTGCTATTTTTACTGGGGTGAGAGATACCTCATAGTTGTTTTGATTTGTATCTCTCTTAGAGCTAAGGATTTTGAACATTTCTTCATGTGCTTGTTGAGCATCTGAATGTCTTCTTTGGTGAAGTGTCTGTTCATATCCTGTGACCATTTTTCAATTAGGTTATTTACCTTTATCTTGTTGTGGTAGTGTCCTCATTATTTTAGTCTGGTTCTTTTTCTGTTCGTTTGGCTTCCTTTCCTGTCCTTACTGACCCCATCTTTGCTTTTGAGTAGTCTCACGTTCCTTTTAATCTCACATAGTTGTTTGCTTAAACTCATGGGTGATATTTACTTTATAAGGCAATCTATTATTTGACCGAAGAGTGACCATTGGGAGTAGCTTTATGGCCAATTTAAAGGGTGTCTTTTAATTGCTCTTCTCAGAGTTGTTCTAGGCATTTGCCCTTTTTTCAGCATGTTTCTCACATTTTTTTCTGGGACATTGTATTGTATCCCTGGTCAGAATGGTTGGTCATAGTAACCAGGCACCATATCTCTCTTTGTAACTGGAGACTTAACACAATATATTTACTTAGATGTTTCTTACATATTTCATAAAAGCCTGAATCTGGTCATCTCTAAAAGTAAACATTTGATTTTCCCTTATACTATTTTCTATATGAATAATATGTTGCTAAACCTGGATACCCACTAGGCCTTTCTGCTACCTGAATTACCCTTAAAATATCCAGTAAATTAGTGAGTGAGTCCAGCTGATGCTCTCTCCAAAACATTTTATATGGTCTTCTTTACTTATCTTCCCCATCACCATCCTGCCAAGCACATTATATTTTTCTGAACTTCTCTTCTAGGACAAATACATTATTTACATCCACATTTATCCTTCTTCACTCTTCTTCCAAAAGCTGTACTGGTATTTTCCCCTCCAATTTTGCAAATATTTTATTGTGAGGAATTTTAGTGGTATTGAAAATGAACAGAAGAATTCATTAAGCCCTAAACACCAAGCTACAACAGTTATCAAGATTCTATATCTGTAATTTGGTTCTTTTTTAGATAGTTCTATGTATTTTGAGGAACTATAAATATGCATTTGAAACTCACAAATTTTTCCTATATAATGTTGATAGATTGATATACCTGTGTAGCATATATCCTTCTTAATATATAGGATACTTACATCTCCTAGAAAGTACTCTCTTCCATTTGTGCTTTCTCTAGTTTCTTTTTTTTTAAAAAAAAATTTATTATTTTTTGTTTGTGTACCATCAAATCAGGTCTGACTAGTACAGGAGGAGATTGTCCCTCCTTCTCCAGCAGAGCATTTGGTGGATTCGAACTGCTCGCCTCTGGGATTGCAGTGCAGCTTTTTGCCACTAGACCACCAGAGCTCCCTTCTCTAGTTTCTTAAGGTAGAGGTTTAGATTAATTGATTTTGACTGTTACTAATTTTCCTCTAAGGACTACTTGTATCCTACAAATATTGGTGGTGGTGGTGGTGGTGGTTTTGGTGGTGATGTGTGCTGTCAAGTTGGAACTGACTTACATCTGACCCTCCAGTGGATTTTCAGAGCCTGTTAACAGTATGGGAAAAGATTGCCCATCATACTCTCACAGGGCAGCTGGTAGATGTAAACCACATATCTTTAGGATGGCGGCACAACTTCTTACCACTAGTCCATTAAAGCTTATTTTCATTCAATTCTCTATACTTTGCATTTTCTCTTGTGATGTTCTTTTTGGTCATGTAAATTTCCCAGATATCTTTGCATTATTAATTTGTTGTTTAATTGCTTTATGGTTCCAAACCCATTTTATAGGATTTTTATTTTTTAAAATTTGTTGAAGGTTGTTTAGTTTCCTAGAATATGATTTATTGGTAAATATCTCATGTATTCATGAAAAAAAAAGACCAGTCTGCTGGGTGATTGGAGAATTCTATAGATTTCATTTAGAGTAAGGTGATTGATGAAAGATTGAATATAATAGAACCAAGTATATGCTCTCTGTTGTTAACCAATATGAATTACATCTCAGTATTAAGAAAACAACAATTTTCACCACCAAAGCAATTGACAGCATCATATTAGATAGTGAAAAGATTGACGTTGTTGGTGAGTTCATCTTGCTTAGATCCACAATCAACAACACTCTTTGCATTAATAGTCAGGAAATCAAAGGACAAGTTACATTGAGAAAATCTACTGTCAGGGATCTCTCCAGAGTGCTGAAGAGCAATGATATTAGTCTAGAGTCTTAAGGTGCTCCTGATCCAGGTTATTGTCTTCTCAGTTACTTGCTATGCATCATAGAACTGGACAATAAATAAGAATGACAAAAAAAGGAATCTATGCCTTTGAGGTATGGTGCTGGAGAAGAGTATTGAAAATACCATGGACTGCCAAAAGAACTAACAAGTTTGTCCTGGAGGGTGAAACCAGGTTTTTCCTTGGAAGCCAGGAATTTGAAACTTTGTCTCACATGCTTAAGAGGGACCAGTCCTTGGAGGAGGACATCATGTTTGGAAGAGTGGAGGGTCAGCTCAGGAGAGGAAAACTCTGTGATATGGATGGACATAGTGACTGTGACAATGGGAGCAAGAATGTTAGAGACAATGTGATTGGCTCAGGATAAGGCTGGGTTCAGAGCAATTGTTCATAGTGTCACTATGAGTCATAGTTGACTCAACAGCACATAACACCAGCAAGAACAGCAGAAACCTACTTTAAATATAGGTCTATAAATGGATGGAAAGTAAAAGGATTGATCAAAAAGATACACCATGCTGTGGAGTTTATCTTTCAGTATGACTTTCCTAGCCATTCAGTTTGACTTTTCCATGCAGATGGATGAGAATATGCAAATAGGATAGACATTTGATGGTGTGGATCACAGTAATTTGTGGCTAGCCTTGAGGAAAATGGGAATCTCGGAACACTTGATTGTGTTATATGAAACCTATACTTGGACCAAGAAACGGTCCTCAGAACAAAGCAGGGAAACACCGCATGGTTCAAAATCAGGAAAGGAGTCCCTGTCCCCATAGCTTTTCTTTTTTTTTTTTTTATTGGGAAAAACATATTGGGGGTACAAGGAGGTGAGGGTTGGGGGCAGAAGGGTGAGGATGGGCCAGGATGCAGTTGCAGAGCTGCACAGTTTGGTCAGTGGGGGGAGCAAGTGAAGGAAATGATGAGGGTCCAGTGACCTTTTCAATCTGTATGCAGAACAGATCATTTGAGAGGCAGAGTTTTATGAGGAGGAGTGTCGTATCAAGTTTGGAGGAAGACAAATCTGTATACAGAACAGATCATTTGCGAAGCAGGGCTTTATGAGGAGGAGTGTCATATCAAGTTTGGAGGAAGACTAATTAATAACCTACCATATGCAGATGACATAACCTAGCTTGCTGAAACTGGAGAAGACCTGAAGCACTTGTTGCAAAAGGTCAAAGAAC